GAGTTCATTTGAGTACGAATCTGATCCGGCACCGTGTGGACGCCTGAAAATGCTGATGCGCTGATACGCTGATGTAGTTGTATACGCTGCAAAGTAGGCTAATTTAGCACCAAAACGCTAAGAAGCTAGAATATATGTCCATTCATATAAACGGTGTATGCGTATGATCGTACACATAGACCGTATAATCTCTGAAAAGTTTAACATGAACCATCTCCAAAGCGATATACACACAGAACAAACTCACCATCAGCAGAACATCCCTCTGTCAGAGAAAGAACACATATAATCCACTGAGTCGTGTCCTTTAATCCGACAGAAGCTGAACCACATCAGAGCATAATAGCTTTTTTTAGCGCTTAGTTTATGCAAATTAGCCTTGCGGTTTTAAGTTTTGTTTCTGTAAAATGTAAACAAATATGCTCAAAGCTGTGTGGATATGGAAGGTTTGAGGACACAGAAACGAGTCAGTCCACACTCTGAGCCGCCATGCTCGTCTTAAAATCCAGTGTTACAACTGCACCTCGTCATCGGTCCACAAAAAGACTGTTTTTACACTTGCCATGTCCCTCGGCTCAAAACCAGCTGCTGCAACTTCAGACTTCCTTGTTTTTACCGCTCACATGACATCCAGACGTTGTGACGATGTGACACCAGCCTATGACGTGACTAGCGTTTCAGGCGGTTTTGCGTTACTGTGTGGACAGGGAATTCAGAAACGACGTGTCTGGACGCAGATCGTTTCCGATACGGTCATACGGTGATACGCGGATTTGTTTCAGTGTAAACAGGGTCTAAGATACCAGTTTGAGTAAGTAGCTTTATATAAAAATGTACAATCATCACAGTATTGAGTATGTTTTTTTTTTTTTTTTTTTGTATTTTCATGTATATCCATCGCCACTATCCAAGGTCCTGATTTGGCTCATAGCTCATGAAGTTCACTCAAACCACCCACATATAGAAATCAATACTAGTGAGGCTGCCATAAAGCATGAGAACATATATTACATTGTCTGGGTGTGTAAAATAACTTCTATATTTCAGTATTAGAAAAGTTATTCCCTCCCTGACATGTTGTCTGTGATTGAAAACACGTGTTAATTCACCCTACAAGTTCCCCCACACCTGTGTACTGTTTAGACGTACTGAACTACGGTTATCCGCTGTACGTGTGCGTGATGGCGTCCTTGTTTATGGCGTGTTGCGTGTGTAGCTTAGGTCCTGGGTGCGTTTGATTATCCCTTCACGGCCTCTGAGGGAGCTGGATTCATTCTCACTCTGATAATGAGGAAGAGACTCTCAATGCCCTCAAGTCATTTCTCTGCTCCTGCCAAGCTTCCTGTTGCATCTAGAGCTTTTCATTTTCTCCGACTCTTTTACACGTTTTCACTCTTTGTTTTTACATTTTCCTATCTCCTCCTCGCTGTCTCCATCCCCACCTGCGTATGTTTCTAATCTCACTTTTTATTGATTTGTACATTGTATCAGAGGTGGTAAAAATAATGGTGGAAATAAAATTATAGTCTAACATAGTAAAATTCTAGTAGTAACTGTATTCTTGTATTTTGGTCAATTTTAAAGACAAACTTTACTGACCATAAGGGAAATTATTTGAACACAGTAGCTCACACATCACAATGTATTATAATAACAAAACTTAACAATGAAAATGGAAATAATACACTCAAAATAAGCAGCAAAAATAAGCAAGAGCCTGAAATCACCAAACATTTAAAGCTGCATTGTGTAACTTTTCTGGTGGAGGGCCATGGCGATGGCATTGCTTTGTTTGGAATGTTTCACAGTATGGCATTAAACCTTTCTATCTTCATGGAGACCAAACCAGACCAAGTTACAGGTCAAATCTATGGAGAGGCGACCTCGCTGTAGTGCACCAAACAGAAAGGCAAAAACAGGGTATAAAAATAATAATAATAAAGTTGAAATTGAATAAAGTCAAAAAAAGATGCAATTTAACAAAGGCTCAAATTAGGCAAATCATTAACAAAAAGCCTGGCCCAACTGGGGTAACTTAAATCTTTTTTATTTTTTTTTTTTTTTTTTAGTACTGGTTTTATGCATTGATTTTTATTATTTTTGTTCATTGATTATTATTATTATTATTTTTATTATTATTATTATTATATTTATTGATTCTGTTAGTTTCCTCATGGTTGAAACATAATTCTGCTGATTTATTTATTTATTTATTTATTTATTTATTTATTTATTTGTTTAAGTAAAATATTTTCCATTGCTTTGTGAAGCACTTTGGAAACAGTCTTATTTATAAAATGTGCTATACAAATAAAGTTGGATTGGATTTGAACAGAACAAAAACTAACCCAACCAGACAAAGGAATGGGGGTGTTTAAATACATGAGGACCAACTAAAACTGTACACATAGGGAGGAATTACACTAAATAATTAACTAAAACTACTAACTTAATCAAAGTAACAAGAAGGCAAAAGTATAAGGGTCCTTGTTCGGCCACTCAAACAAACAAAAAAGAACAAGTGTAAGTAAACAATTCAGACTTATGCTAAAATATGTGCACCCAAATTTGAATATAAGTCTAAATAAAGGAATTAAATTATGTGCTGTAACATAACTGTAACGAAATGAAATGAAATGGAGTGGAGTGGTGGCAGAGGTATCTACCACACCCCCTCACCGTCACTCACATGTTTTTCTAGTTATTTTTGAGCATTAAACTACATGTAATTGAATAAATATAAGGCAGAGCTGTTTAATGTCATACTGTGGAACATTCCAGGAAGATCAATGACATCTCCAATGAAACAAACAGGTGAATGACCCTCAACTAAAACGTTACATAGCGCACCTTTAGATAAGAAAAAAAAAAAAAAAGATATATATCATGTATTTATTTTATTTGTATTTATTTATTTTTGTTTATTAATATATTTTTTTTTATTTATTTATTTACATTGTCAGCTTTCAGCACTCTTTCCACCCACCTCTGCTGTGTATTTATTGCTTGCGGTTTACGACACCTGGGGGCTGTGCTGGTTAGAGTCTGGGTTTTATGTCAAAGATTTAAAAGGCGCTTGACCATTTTTCATTAGTCTGGCCGAAGCCGCTCTATCTCCGAGGAGCCGTGAGCTGCCTGTCTTGTTTCTTCCCCACAATGGCCTCACTCATCCCCCGTAGATGCCCCCGTGTGCCGTATATTTGCCTGGTTGCTCTAAATGTCCTCTCCAGTGCGTTGCCCATTACCTGACTTGCCCTGAAGAATCTCCAGAGAAGCACAGAGCGAGAATGAGTCAGAGCCGTGGATCTGTTAATTTTAGACCAGCTTCTCTCAGGGTTCTGTGGTACATGAGAGTTCCATTTCCCTGTGTCCTTTTTTCAGACCAAGCAGATTTCCTTTAATTTAAGAGATGATCACAAACAACATTAATTTCCTGTTCATCCTGTGTTTTGTATTGTACTTGACCTGGTATTTTTCTTTTTCTTAAGTAATGTAAGTTTCCTCTGACATCTTGAGGAGCAAATTCATGTCAATTTCAATACATGCATCCCGAATTTCTGACTTCCGGTCATCGCACAATGCATTCTGACAAGGGTCCCCCGAAAAAATGAGCATCAAACCTTCATGTTTGATTTCCCAGTGGGATGCATCTATTGTCAAAGCCAATCTTTTCAAGTGTTTTGAATCATATTATTTTTGTTTCTGGTTCTGATATTGTCATATTTTAGTTATGGGATTCGGACATCGTAATTGTGTGGTTGCTGGATGTCCTAACAGCTGAAAACGAGAAGTTCGCAAACTCCATAACTGCAAAAGGGAATGAGATCTATGTGGCTGCAATCCTCCGTTCTGTTTCCCTTCCCATCGGAACTGAAATATAGTGAAAGTCGAAGGCGATGGGCAGTACTGATACACAGGAAGGATGAAAAAGGCAACCTTAGCTGCATAAGAAATCATTATGTGTTTGCAGCAAACATTTTGTATGTGGAGCGCCAACAAAGCAAAATCCCATTTGTTAAGCGAGAGGTACAGAAGACAAGCAGGCTGAGCTTGCACTTTTTTCTTCGACTGACTATAGCAACATCACGTCTTGGTTGCTTTGCAGTAGAAGGTGTTTCTTTCGCAAACTTCCGAAGCTGCTGTTAGGACATCCAACAACCACACAATTACGATATCCAAATCCTATAACTAAAATATGACAATATCAGAACTAGAAACAAAAGCGATATGGTTCAAAAGACTTGAAAAGATCGGCTTTGACAATAGACGCATCCCACTGGGAAATCAAACATGGCGGTTTGATGCTCACTTTTTTGGAGGACCCTTCTCAGTATGCATTGCACGATGACCGGAAGTCCAAAATCATCCAACAACATCCAACTAAACTACAACTAAAATAATAGAAATAATAAAGTAATACAAATATATCTCAGCTATATACAAGAGGGCGTAAGGAGAAATAGTGCAAAGATGAAATAATGATTGACATGGCTGAAGGTTATCATTACAGAAGGGTGAGTTGTACAGTATGGAGTATGGTATGAATTTAGTTGTGTATCACTCATTTCCAATATAAATCAAGATCATTTTGTGTATAATATAGAATAAAATGTACATGTTTAGTATCTGGCTATGCATCCCTACCATAGCAACTAACCAACTATATTTAGATTACACCAATAATTTCAATAATAAATAAATAAATACATTCAGTATTGGTATTTGTGGAAAATTATGCTTCAGTTAGCACTGTTTTGTTTGTTATAACCATATATTTCCTTTCCATTGGTTATAGTAAAACTCATTTGTCACTTTTTGAGTTCATATCAAGAAAGTTGAAGAGTAACTCTCAGTAACTTTCGTCCTTTTGTCTTCCAGGTGACTGAAGTGGACAGTACCATCACAGAGGCCCTTTAGGAGGCCCCACCCCGCTGCAACCTCCGCTGCTTCTCCCCTCTTTTATCTCCTCCTCTTCCCCACACACCCCCATCAAGCTGGGCATGGATCTGAAGGATCGCAGACACCGCTCGCTCACTAGGGGGCGCTGCTCCAAAGACACCCAGTACAACACGTCGTCCCTGGACACAGACGAGTGCCGTGTGCCCACACAGAAGTCCTACAGTGAGACGCTCAAGGCCTTTGACCACGAGCAGAGACTGCACTACGGGGGCTGTGTGACTGACCTGGTGCGCCATGAGGCTGACGACTACTCCAGACAAGGTGAGTGGAGAACCAAAGAAAATACTCTCATGTGAAGCTCAGATTTATCCATCTTTCAGGCTTTATCAAGTATTGAATTGATAATTTCCTGTAGAAGTCAAATCTGCAATACACTGCTGTCGAACTGGGGAAGGGGATAAAGGTAGTTTGACCAGCCACTCCTTTCTACATTCTGTTCAAATCTAGAGGGGTCTGGAACTGTAGAGCGTGAAAAACCTTTGTCCAAACCTAAGACAATCCAACCACAGCTGCTAATTTGTATCACGTTTCCCTCAAATGCGGAAGACATCTCCTCTCAAAACTTCTTGTGACAAAACATGTAACTTCTTGTACCTGAAATACTGTAAAAATCCACTTTGTTTCTCAGTCTTTTATGTAGATTTTATCCTTTTAAATGTGTAAGCAGCCATGTCCGTCTCTCTGATTGGGTAATCCACCTGTCAACCACACCCTCTGAAATCAGGGAGACAGGTCCAGATCCACTTGTCTTTGTAAAGTTTTTTTTCTTTTTTTTTTTCAAAGTGTGCGGTTCTGTTTGCCCAGTTAAGGGTAAAGGTGCTGTTTGCCAAGCGCCCAGTGCAGGGAGGGGCACCTCACAGAGTCTGCATATACACAGTGTGGGCCCACCAAGATGATTTGTACCAAGGGCCCAGAATTCGATGCTACTCCCCTGCTGCTATACCAGTGTTTTCTGTTATGAATGATGTATTTGTTTTTTCCTACTATATAGTAAAAACACTTGTCTAAATCAGACTGCCATGACTGCAGCCTGCACACACACACACACACACACACACAAGACACATAAAAAGATTTAGAACGCCAGGCTCAGACCGTACGGCATGCAATCCTGTGGTGCCAGCTGAGGTGTCATGGCGCTCCAAATCTGGACCTTGTACAGTCTGAGCTAGACACAAGGGTTTGTAAATCAGGTACCCCAGATAATCAGAACAAGTCTGGTGGGTGTGTGGAATTAAAGGATACAAAGGAGCTTCATGGATTTCATCTTGCTGATAAATAGTAGAGTGCAGGCATTTTCACTTCTGGACACAGGCTACTGAAACATTTATGAATGAAAAATGATAACGCTGTCAAAACCTTTGGTTAAAGGTCCAATGTGTAACTTTTCTGGTAGAGGGTCCGCCACCTTTTTTCCTAGAATCTTCTACAGTATGGCATTTAATTTAACTATCTTCATGGAGACAAGCAGCCACATCATGAAGCCAAGTTACAGGTCCAATCTATGGAGAAGTGGGCCTGTTTACAGAAGGAATGCTGTTTTTTGTGGTAGTTTTGAGAAATATAAACGCTCCAGGTGAAACAATAATGCCACCGCAAGCACATGGCAGACCCTCCACCAGAAATGTTACACAGAGCACTTTTTAATACAGGATCTTTTTATGTATAGCACTGTACAGTTTACCTTCAGCTTTGATCAAGTATGAACCAACCTGATCAATTATCATGCATATGGTTTTATACTCCTTTGCTTAGTACTCTTTGCTCTGTATCCATTTGCACGCCCTCAATTGGAATCATATACATTTATATAAAACAGAACAGGTTTAAAAGGCTGGTTTGGTCTGGTCTGCACTTTATTGACATAAGCCTCATTGCCTATAGTGGGATTTTTATTATGTTAAGGGAAATAAATGGGTCTAATGGTTTTCAATGGCCCTCTCTTATCAGCCACGTAATTACATGATGTGAAGAGGCACCTCGTAAAAACACTGAATGTGACAGGTGCTAGCATTCATTCAAAAGCTTATGATGATTATACAGATGAACATTACCATAATGGATTAAAGATTACGTTTTTTGGAAGAGAAGGTAGAGTTTATTCACCAATATCTCCCTAAAAAGAAGCATATTTTTTATCAACCTCAGTATAAAGTTATTTGTCTCTGCGGTGCCTCACTTCAAGGTTTTTGGCTGGCAGGGCACAACGAAAATTCAAGGATGTAGTCATTTCCTTCCAAAGTGTTACCAATTATTGTTTTCATCCTTCAGCGACAGTAGCCATGGCAATTCTTTTTAGCAGTCTTGGCCTCCGAGTCTTTCTGGGCCCATTTTGGCTTTCACGTTTTAAAGGCTCTTTGCACATAGTATTTATGTTTGGTTTTATTTTTGTTTTGGATGTGCTTTTTATTCTTTAGTGCTGATTTTGCCCTCAGAGGTGTGTACGTGCTTGCTCAATTATCTCTTTTTATATTATATTGTGCGTATTGTGTTTTGGTTGCCAGTTTTCCTCCGGCTTTTAGTACCCAAATGAATAAAGCTTTCAATATGTGCTGCAAAAACCTTTAAGCAATGTTTGTGATCTTATTTATTTTAAAGGTGCAACTTTTCTGGTGAAGGGTCCACCACCCGCTTTGTTTCCATTTTGATGTTATTATTTTGCCAGGATTCCACAATGTGTCATATTTTCATGGAGACACAAGAGGCCAAGTTACAGGACAGATCTGTGGAGAGGCGACCCCACTTTCAATAAGAATACATATTTTTAAAGCTATTTTTTGAGCAATAAAACACCTGTACTTTTTTTTGTTTTGTTTTTTTTTAAAGGGGAGATGATTACTGAAACATGACGGAAGGGAAAACAATTATAAAATCCTTAAAAACCTATTAAAAGTTTAACTATGCATAATCACAATGAGTATATGTGTAGCTACATTTCCTTCTGCTTGAGTCATAACAACATTTCATGAGTACATTTGGTCCCTCTCTACCTCTGCACACTATCACACTGTAATCAGAGCAGTGCACCAAAGCAGACCTTTAGCTGTGGCAAGCCTGTCATAATGAACTTCTATATCCCCCGGTGAGCGAGCGATCCGATAGGCCGATAGGTCATCTCTAAAGGGGTGGGTCTGCCCTCATGGCATGTCTTTAAACCGTGAGCGTGTGTATGTGCATATATACAGCCCTGTGTGTTGGAGCGAGACATGAAAGCGGCCGTATTGATCCATGGCTAGTGAAAGGAGTCAGACTCGATGGGATTGATTGGCGCTAAGCTCTGTTTTCTCTGCATGGACACAGAGGCACAGGTACACAACACAACCCAATAGTGCCACAACCTCTGGCCACGGTTCACATTTGTAGCGAGAAAATGTTTTGCCATCATAATAAAAGTGTTGATATGAAGTTTTGTCAACCAGGGAGCACATCGGGTGATTGGTGCACTGGATAGATTGATCTCAAGTTGAAAGAGGCAAAATATGACCTGAAGAAGAAGAGTCAAATAGGAGGTCGAAGGCAAAATGTTTCTTTGTGCATGGCTGTGCTGGCTTAGAATTTATCTCATTGCACTACAACTACAGAGCGGCGCAATGAGATGAATTGATCTGTAACACTGAATAAAATTTTGAGAGAGGAACCGATCTGCCTTCTGCTTATCTCCATGGACATGTTATTGCTTTACCATTACACATGTCTACTTTTCTTTCAACCCCAAGCATTTTTATTGCTCAGTAATACCTTAAAAAAAAACTTGCATTCTTACTGTGAGCAGATTTGTCTCTCCACAGATCTGACCTGTAACTTGGCCTAGTAATGCCACCTTCTTCTCTCCATGGGGATTGAAAATGTAATGCCATGTTGTGGAATATTACAGGCAAAGCAATAGTAACTTCATAGAGACAAGCACCCTCCACTTGAAAAGTTACATAGAGCACCTTTATTTTATTTGAACCCTTTAGTCACCCTAAGGTATATGTAGAGAGCCATCACCAACATTAATAGTGGTGTTTAAAGTAGTCACTAAATTAACTTATATAATTTCCATATTTACTTATTTTAAAATGCATGATTATTCTGAAAAGGAGCTAACATGGAGTGTGTTTACATGCACATCAGTATCCTGGTTATGATCGGATTTTTGAGTATCCTGGTTTCATGCATGTATACGCATTATCCCGGTTTCAGTGTCCCAAATAAGGCAGTATCCTGGTTATGAGAAACCGGGATACTGTAGCTGGTATATTCCGATAGTAACCGGGGTATTGTGGCATGTATATGCAGTATCCCGGTTACTGCAACATAAAGTTGAGTGCGCATGCATCCAAAAGACAAACACTTCCCATTCTTTTCATCACAACAGTAGCCAACATAAATAAAGTGACCATGAGTGAAATTACTGTAAAATAAAGAGCTGCACTAAACCTGCACATGTACAGTCTGCACTCGTGTGACCTTCACACACATGATCTCTTAAAAGTTAAACATGAACCATCTCCAACATGATATACACACAGAACAGACTCACCTTCAGCAGCACATCCTCTGTCACAGAAAGAACACACAAATTCCATTGACTCATGTCCTTTAGTCCGACAGAAGCTGAACTGCATCAGCGCACAAGGAGTGAGCTGTTTTATTTTGTTTGTTTGTTTGTTTTTTCAGCTCTTACATTTATGCAAATTAGCCATGCGGTTTTAAGTTTCGTTTCTGTAAAAAGTAAACAAATGTGTGCAAAGTTGAATTATATTCATCAAACAGGCTGATGTGGCTTTATAGTGGTTATGGTTTATATGTTTTAAAATTGAGATTATTTATACAGAAGATTTTAATGAAGAATCTGTTGCAGTGTGTTTGGAAAGTTCAGTTAGATCTGCGTAGTGGATCATAGCCCTTTACCGCCGGTTAGGAACCTGTGCTAAAGGAGCTCATGGTTGTTTGTATGTTTCCTTCTTTTATTAAGGATATAATTTTTGCACTTGTACATTTGTAACATTGTGTCAAGAAACCAGGATACTGCATTTGATCATGTGTACAGGGATATGAGTATCCCGGTTTCTCAGTGCACATGTATAAGCAGTATCCCGAATACTGTAATAACCGGGATATGGCTAGTAACTGGGATACTGATGTGCATGTAAACACACTCATGGATAAAGAATGGGCCGTATATAATTGTGCGGGGGTTATCTGGTTAAAAAAGAGTCTAGCTGTGATCTAGATACAGTATCAGAAAGCTCATAGTAGTCTATTGCAGAGAAATT